AGGTGATTTACATCTAGAAATTCAGTCATCGGTTGAAATTTCGTTATTTCTTCTTCCTTTCTTAATAACTAGCTTTACGGCTCTGGGTTCTAGCCCTTCTGAGCCTGAAGTTACAATGTATAATAATTATCCTTCATAGTACACTGCTTCACAATATGTTGATGCGCCCATTTTGCAGCCCTTGTGAGATTTTGACGGCAACTGGAGCCAGCAGAAAGTTGACAGTTGGTGATGGTATCTCAAGGCGCCTATGCAGATTAAGACAGAAAAAGACACCTTATTTTGAGAATCACATCACCATCGGAGCACTTTTTTCACCGTTTCCACTAATAGTTCATATGCTTAACATTTAATACACAAAATCGCACCACTTTTACATATCAAAATCCACTTCAAACCATTATTTAAACAATAATACAGGATCAGCAATCCGTCGCCGGTCAAGTTCCCATCAAAACCAGCAATTTCGTTATTTGTTTAGGGATGCCCACAGATCATAGAAAACAGCGTTACGATTACGATCGTATTGGCTTTGATGATTCACCTTAGATGTGCAAATCTTTTAAGTTACGCAATACCTACAGTACAACAGTAAATTTGAAAGCGTAAAATATTGGTGTAGTAAAGAACGTGTGGTGGCGGCGATGGAGAATCCACTATCCCATTTCGTCATTTAAGTGTCCTAAGAGGCGACTGTGGGAAACACCAGAAAAAATCTTATGGTTTCCGATTGATGGCGGCGTAACCATCTCATTTACGTCAGACTTATACCCAGACCGGTGACAGCTGCATTTTCAAAGGTGCAAGACGTCTAGCACTGTTGTCGTCCATTCGCCTTCTGAGCGTGGTGATTAAGGCAAATGAGAGGCCCATGTACAGCAGAGAGAAAGAACAATGAACATCGAAGACGACGTTCGTGTTTTACCTTAATCCTTAACTGTTCTTATATAAACTTTATCCGATTACAGCATTCAAGTAACACTGACTATAGTAGTTAGTGTAAGAATGGCGAACCATCTGGTAACTTTGAATGTTATCTGTTTAATTAGTTTATCAGTTTTCTGATCTGGTGGTGAATATAGGGTACAACACAGCAATCCATTTCAAACCGTCAGAGCCTTATCCATCCGAGGTGGGCACTTACAGAAATGTATATTCTCTTTCTCACTTCTCAGATCCATTTACGAGTCCCAAATAGCGGCTGTCTAGACTAGCAACATGTTCACCAAGTGAAATATGTAAACAGCAGCAAGTGGAATATATACACCATCCACTATAAGCTCTAATAAATAATTATTAAGATGATAATTGTCAACTTTCGAGTGTGTGACGCTGTTTCTATAATCTCTAACAACAATTTTAGTTAGTGAATGAATAAATAATCGTAATAAAATACCGCTCTAAGAAATTATTTATCAGATCCTTCTTGACAATATTAACTTGCAATACGACTAAAAAGGTTAAAATTTAAACTGTTGGGACGTTGCAATTTATCTTAAAATATAAGAGTAGTTATACGTGGTAGAGTCACTCTGCAGCTATATTATGGTTGTAGCACGAATGATTTTGATTCTTAATTGAGGATAAATGTAGATCTATGGGCCACAGTATCCACTTACCATCAGTGTGCTCGTTTGTCACCCTTATTCTATAAACAAATATTTTCTACATGGAAATTTTCTGGTCTTTCTATCTATCTTATATATGTTCTATCTTTTTAAACTATACAATATACAACATTCAATGAAAAAAGGGTTAAAAAATTAAGGCAATAATTGAACTAAATAATATGCTTTCGATAATGGTTCGTTGGGCACTTACACTTTTTATAAATGCTATGCGCATCTCTACATAGTATAAAATAAAGTCGCTTCCCGCTGTTTATGCGCTTAGATCTGTTAAACTACGGATTTTGATGCGGTTTTCATCAATAGAAAATGAATTAAGACAAAGATTTAAATGTATTATACATGCACATTTTATATTATATAATTCTTGCGTCCGTGTGTATTTGATTGAACTTCTCCTAAACGGCTGGGCCGATTTTGATGAAATTTTGTGTGTGTGATTGTGATTTTTTGTGATTGTGATGTTGATTAGAGAATGGATTAGATTCACAATTGGACCCGGTAGGTGGCGTTGTTGTCGAGGTACAAAAATCAACCTTGCGAAGCCGGTGCGGATTGCTAGTTTATGAGTAAAAGAAATAATAACGATATTATTCTAAACTTATGTTAATCCGCTATTAGTATTCAGTTACGTTTAAAATAATGTTTATTTAATACAACGACCCTAAATGAAACATCAAAATCAAAAAGTCAGTCTGCGCGAAATCTGTAAAACTTGTTTCACATCCAGTGCAACAGTTTCAAAACTTTCTTTCTATTCCAAGAGGAATCTCAGCTTATCGTCGTCCCTGTCTCCCTAGTACAAACACATTGAACAGTGTTATGTGTGAAAAGGACAGCTTACATGAAGACGTCACGAGGGCGAAGGCGCGCGAGTGTTCTTCCACTTATTTTATTTATTCTGTTGCCTGCTATTTTTTTTCTTTTTCACAAAGCTACGTCTTTGTTCGAGTTCGGGGGGCGCGCGATCGTCCATGGCTGGTAAGTTGGATAATTTCTTTATTCAGTTCGCCCACCCGACAATTTTCTGACCCGCATTATTATGTTATGAGCTTGATTTGTTTAATAATTTTATTACGGGGCGCAATCCGCCCGCGCCATTGTACTTTTGTTCTGTAAGCGTTATTGACTATTGTTTATTATATTTTAGAAGTTTATCAGGTAGATTGTTTTTGTTTTATTAAACGATTTTAGTCTGAATTCAAACCTATACCACTTCTTAAAGTAACGTATTGCAAATGAAAACATTACCAATTAGACAATGATACACGACATTATCTGCAAATGAAGATCGTTTGATTGTATCTATGTTTTCATTTTCATTATTACCATCTAAAAAAATAAAGTTTTCGAAATTCCAGTACAACTCTATTATACATAAACCAATTTCAAATTTATGTTATAAAAATTCCGTTAACGTCGTCAGTAATACTTTTCTCCCTGCTTTCCCAATTTTATATTTTGACAATCCAACAAGGTCAGATGTCCAGACATTGCGTCAGGGATACAAAGGGAAAAGGTCCTCTTTTTGCTTACGGAATCCTACTGTTAAGCCTTGAGAGCCGCGCCAAGATGTCCGTTCCGATAATTCGAATGCTTTGAATAGGCAGGTGGACTTTAAATAGAGATGTTTGTGCATCTCGTTATACCTATTTTATGATAGTGTTTATTTGAATTGTAGGCTTTTGAGTACCTACACACAGCATATTTACTAGAAACATATTCTATATGTGCTTATACCTCCTATACTTTCTATTTAACATTTTTATTTAGACAGTTGAACGTTGATAGTGTTACTAAGCTTACTTTGGTCACGTTTTATCCGGTTGGAAAGACCACTATGATTATTTTGGAGTCAGTTTGTACTAAAAGTTATACACTTAATATATAGGCAAAGAAACTCTAGTTTTTCTTAAATCTCATGACAACTGTTTTCTGTACCTTTATATATTTTTTTTTTATAGGATAAGGGTGACAAACGAGCACACAGTCCACCCGATGGCAAGCGGTTGCTGTGGCCCATAGACATCTACATCTATCCTCTATTACAAATCAATATGTAGATGCGTTGTCACCCGTGAGGACTAAGATGGAATGCCTCATTTCCAGTAAAAATGGCCTCCGGCCACCTGCACTCACCAAGCGAAACGCAGAGGTAAACCTCTACTTCACGCTGGTTTTCTGTGAGGTCGTGGTACCACCCCGGTTCGAGCCGGCCCATCCGTGCGTCAGCAAAAGCTGCCGCGTAGCTCTACCACTGTTATATTTACAATTTCAACAAAATTTAAAAGTAACATATCATACAAATCACTTGTATACAAGTCACATGTTAAAGTAATATTCGTAGTTTCCTATAGTTAAACCATTTTCAAACATTAAATTATAGCTGGTAAATTGATGCACTTTTTATAAAAAAAACTTACTGCGGCCAATTTCAAGTAAAGAATACTCTTTAGGCTTCATACGTTTCTTGGAAGATTTGGCCATGCTCATCACTTGCTTGTGCTAGAGCCACGCTGCAGCATTCACACCCAGAATAACAGTGTTAATTACTTTTTAATCCTGCTGTATTCCGTATGGTGAGTGCAGAAAACCGGAGATACTTTTTACTGGTAAACAGGCTTCTATATTAGTTTTGATTCTTAATCGAGGATAATAGTTGTCTATGGGCCACAGTATTCACTTTACATACGGTGAACCGTGTGCATATTTGTCTAGGGAGATATATTTAGAAAAACTCGGCCATGCTGGTAGGCGAACGCAGAACTGACATCCTCTCACTTGTAAGCTCTATAAATTTTAAAGTGGCAAATGAACTAACTCTCCACCTTATAAAAGTTACACTAGCGGTTACTATAAACCATTGGACACTAGCTTGATGCAGCTATCCATGGACAAGAGTTTAAAAGCCGTAGATTCATTTTCACCTTTAAAGTAAATAACAAATATCTCTGTCTTACTTTATAATATTATGAGACGCAGCAGTACGTGCACTGCTAGGCAGTTAGAAAGTTTAAGCCAGAAAACAGCCCCAGTTTTAGCCAAAAAAAAGTTGCTACTTATTACCGATCTGTAGGATTTGGTTTTTTTATACTTATAACGGTAACGAATAAGCATACAGTCTATCTAATGGTAGGTTAATTAGGAAGCAAAAAGCAAATAGCATTGTTAACCCTGAGAACTAAGATTAAATGCACGGCGGGTCCAGCTAAAACAGACATCATGAATAGACGATAGTAACATGTAATTAATATTACTGAATAAACTTTATGTATGTATATCATGTTAAGATATCGTGACAAAACAAACACAGACCAGTTCCATTTTAGCTCAGGCAAAACTTGGATATAAGTTAATTGGAATTTTTTACAGGTTAGCAGCGGCTGCGGCGGCTGCGGCGGGCGCGACCAGCGAACTGAGCTACCTTGCCGCTCTCCACCCTGCGTACCGGCCTGTTCCCTACGACCATCCACTATATGGCACCAACACTTTACGAGGTAAGTGAAAATTGTTACAAGCATACGTTTTCAACGAATATAAATCACTTAGATGTAATTGGTGTAATGATATAGTTAATATCTATAACATTTTTCATAATTACGTCATTACTTAAAAAGAGTTTTAAGCAATAGTACTGAACTTGAGAGTTAAGAGTTTTTTCTAAGAGTTTTGAACTGTCGTCGACACAAGGAACTCGTACTTTATATACTTGTAGTGACATACGAATTTGAAACTACAGATGCGTTGTAATCTCTGATCACTGGTGGAATGCCTCACGGCTTGATATTATACTGGATCTATTCCTGAGACCCTATAGACCTGAACACAGTATTGCAAACACAGCTATTTGGCGGCTGACACAGGTAAGAGAGTGATACCCAGATTGACTCTTAGGCAAAAACGGACACACCTATTCTAGTTATGTATATAGAATCATCAGAACTGGAACACACCATCTGGATGATTGGCGGTCCACCACTGTGCGATTTAGAAGATGTTTACTTCCTCGCACGACTTCCTTGTGGAATCGATTACCATCAGCGATTTTTCCGGACCGATACGACTTAGGGACCTTCAAGAAAAGAGCGTACTCCTTTTTAAAAGGCCGGCAACGCATCTGCAATTCCCTCCCTGGTGTTGCAGTTGTTCATGGGCGGCGGTAGTCACTTACCATCAGGTGAGCCGCATGCTCGTTTGCCCCCTCTCCTATAAAAAAAATCTAATTGTAAGTTATAGTCACAAGTCAGATCTAAGAATGAATAGCAACTAAGGTAAAATACCGCTCACCGAGGGTGACGATCACGGCTAATGCACTGTTGCACTTATCTTTGATTTATTTTATCACTTTGGACCAGCTGAAAGCCGCATAGGCGCTTCTCTTAAATTTTATATGTAAGTCCGATTTACCTACAAATGCTATATATTTTCTATACGTGGTAGAACCATGCTACAGCTATATTATTAGTATAGTTGTAGCACGGATGGGAAGGACCACGCTCTCATAGAATACCAGCGTAAAATGGCAGCTCAACGCTGCTGTGTTCCCTATGGCGATTATAGAGAACCGGAGACCCTTTTCACTGGAAACGAGGCATTCCATTTTAGTCCTCACGGGTGACCACGCATATGTATTTAAATTCGTAATGGAGGATAAATTTAGATGTCTATGGGCCACAGCAACCACTTACCATCAGGTGGACTGTGTATTCGCTTGTCACCCTATCCTATAAAAAATACCGTTTGCTCGACGATGTTGACGATGATTTTGGATTAGATTTAGATTTTCAAAATTAGACTAACCATTTCTTTTATAACATGTGAGTTATCTTCTTTAATTCCACGTAGTCGCTTTATGATTTCACTCCGTGTTTTAACACTGTGCTATTAATTGCATGTTCGTTAAAATATTTAAATCACTTCTCACTATAACACAATACGCTTAAGGTCACATGGTCATATATACCGCGATTCCGCTGTGTTAGTTATAAGCTATAATTTCAGCGAAATCATGTAACACTATACTACCTTATGTCTGCAACGTCACACTGCATTCCAAAAAATGCATACCCAAACAACAGTCTACAAGTCTTGATGATTATATCTATTTATATATATATAAATATAATAAATCTGTAGAAAAATTATGTGTTTGCGATTCACGCTAAAACTAATGGAAGAATTTTCTTGAAGTTTGGTGTATAGGCAGTAAAAGACCGTGTATAACATATAGGTGTATAACTTTGTATCCGCTTACGGAATAGTAAAAAATAATGGTTGTGTTTTGTAATTAGTTATAAAGGGGATTTAGCTGCACGTTTGATAAGTTTATAAAAATGTGTGGGTGTGTGAAAATGAAACTAATCGCGCCACTTATTGGAAAGGGCATAAAAACGTTTGCCGGACCAGCTAGTTAGTAGCCACTGTGATCGTTGTAATCGTTTGTAAGTCGTATACATAGGATATGCATTTGCAAATTAAATAATTTGATTGACGAATAAGATTATATATAGAGTATCGTCATAAGCTCTGAAGATATCAAAGCAAACGCTTAACGCTTTAGCTATTCCAAGTAGCTCGCTTTTGATCTCCGCCGGCGACAGTTAAATTGTTAATTACAATTTTTAGTTCTGATTTATAAAGAAAAACGCCGTGCTTAAATTAGGACGGGCAGTTTGCTTATAACTGTTTCAGAAATAAGCGGTAGACATGCACCGAGCTAAAGATCGTTTATAAGCTAATATTGAAGTCTAAATATTTTTGTTCAAAATTCGCCTTTATAAGGCACTATTTGAAAGTTAAATAAGCTATGCCATCGCTTTAACAAGTCCAATATTTTACTAAGTATTTAATCTACATTATCATGTCTTGAAAATGACAACGGAACTTAAATTAAGTGTATGTATAAAAAAACTAATTAAGTTATCTTTAGAAAGATTCATTTCATGTCTGAGTTATTATTTTTTTTTTTTTTTTTTTTATAGGATAAGGGTGACAAACGAGCACACAGTCCACCTGATGGTAAGTGGTTGCTGCGGCCCATAGACATCTACATCTATCCTCGTTTGCGAATCAAAATGCAGATGCGTTGTCAACCGTGAGGACTAAGATGGAGTGCCTCATTTCCAGTAAAAAGGGCCTCCGGCCACCTGCACTCACCAAGCGAAACGCAGAGGTAAACCTCTACTTCACGCTGGTATTCTGTGAGGTCGTGGTACCACCCCGGTTCGAGCCGGCCCATGCGTGCGACAACAAAAGCTGCCGCGTGGCTCTACCACTGTTAAATTTGTGTTTATTATGTGATTATCAAATGATATATCGTGGCAATAGTTGTTCAAGAAATTCCCTCCTTCCATTTATCCACGGTAAGTAATAACAGGTTTATAATTTTAATCCCAGTGGCAAAATCTATTGAAATAACCAGAAAATAAAACATAAAAAACCGCGCCAGAAGTGTATAGAGCACCATCTCGTTCTCAAATCGTACGTATAATAACTAAACTAAAGCGAGACACGAGCTGCGGATATCTCACACAACCCTACAAACGCCACAGACGTACACTATCAGCGCAATTTATCTATACACTGAGGTGTTAATTAGGATTTGAACTCACGACTGCCACCATTCATTTCTTAACACTTTGCAAACGGAAATCGACCTTATGTTGTGACAATACTAAAGCAAATCGGTCAAATGTGTCATGCGATGACAGATACGTAAAAGTGGCTATTAAAAGACAGGCCGTGTTTAAGTCACGGGTTAAAATTGGCATGTGCTGGAATAACGAAGGGTTGAGATTTCGACCTTGCAATTAAGACGTTACCACAGATCGAATAACAATTTAACAGTTACCTAATTGTAATCACGCTGAAAAATTATTTTTATAATATCCTTAAAATTACCAATGTATTGTTGATATTTCTTTAAATCCACATATCATTTTAGTAGCCGCATATTCACAAACTTTGTATGTAAAATATTTAGGGTAAGGAGATTTTAAGGTTAACCCATACGGACAGACTCTGAAAGCCGTGTTAGCTTATAGAAAACACTGTCCCCACTCTCTAACTGGTTCCCGCCATGACGTGGGAGGCTTTAGTATCAATGCTTCGGAAAAAACCGGGGTCGCGTGGAAAGAGGAGTGTTGGTATAACGGTGCACCGCTCTCCCTACACTTCGCGTCTGAAACTTTATCGGCGGCGGAACTATTGACCAGATCTTTCGCTGGGGACAGGAAGGCGGGTGTAGGCCGAAATGCAGCTGCCGTTGCTGGTGGTTCGCAAATCTGTCCAAAAGCGTTCCAGTGGCCCTGTTAGATTTTAGTCGGTGCGAGATTGAGAATTTAGTACTTTTAGTGTCTTAAATCTTCGTCGATTTCGCATTTTAAGTTAAATTAAATTTTAATATACAAAAATATTTAAACTAGACGAGACTGACTCCAAAAACTATGACTATATTTCAAATTTCCATAGGAATGTTCGTTTTGACAGCTCTTAGAAAGTATTTCATTTGAGTTAAGTGTCAAATACCCAATGTTTAAGCAAAATGGGAGAGCTTTAAGTCTCGACTACATGATGCATTGCGAATAATAAACAAGCGTTCTCTTCAATCTTTTTTTCGTCTAGCAAAATGCAAACAAAGCCTACAGAATGTAAAATTATTCCTGTTTATCGCTAACACGCCTTCACTAATGTCATCCATCGCTCAGACCGTAACTGATATATATATATTTATGAACTGGTGACTGAAGAAGTGGTCCAAGTGTAAAGAAAAATGCGCTATTTTGTATACGTCTTTATAATAACTCCGAATTAACGGGGTCCATGCTCAGGTCAGGTCCAGCAGGTCAGAAAAGTGAACCGTAACGATAAGGTCTATATCGTCTTGTCTTAATAATCACAAGATTGTTTGTGTTACAGACCTAATTGAAGTGTCATTATTTAACTTTTGTCGTCAGCTCGCGGTCGGCGGGGGGAAGGAGCACCGCGCAGATTGACCAAATCCGGCACCCTTCTCCTTCTAACACTATAAGCTACTCGTTGACACAGACGCTTCATGTTAAACCAACGGTTGTGTTTTCCCGACATAGTTCTACCCGATTTTTATTTGGTACAGCCACATTACAGATTGTGTTCACTTGAAGAAATTTTTGTATTATATGTATTTTGCCTGCGGCACAGAATAACAGCGTGAAATAGCAGCATAATCCTGCTGTGCTTCGTGCGATAATTAGCTTTCAGAACTCCTTTTTTGCCTAGAATTCCGTGTGGTAGATACCACTATATATCTTGATTCTGTCAAAAAGCAATGCACTGTTGTGTTCCGGTTTGTCTGGAGCATATAGAAAGTCAGTATAATTGGAGGCAATGAGGCATTCCATTTTAGTCATCAGAAGCTACATCGCATCTGTGACTTTCTTAGACTTTTTTGTAGTTGCAGTTGCAGTAGAAGCCACTCTAGTATCTAGTCGATCAGGTGGACTGTAAATTCATTTGTCAC